GACTCCCTTATCTTTTAACAATATTCCATCTGAAGCAGAGAGTTTATGGCTCATATCGATAGGAGTAGCAACTGGTCTAGCACCCATCTTCCCTGTTTCAAAGAGCAAATCAAGAACATACTTTCTCTAAGAGATAAGGATCCCATCCTTGGATCTAGCAACTTCTATGCCAAGAAAGTATCTCAATTCCCCCAGATCTTTGATCTCAAACTCTGTATGAAGGAAAGATTTAATATCATTAATCCCTGATACATCATTACCAGTCACAACAATATCATCAACATAAACAATTAGGTAAACGACCAAGGATCCTCTCCTCTTCACAAAGAGGGTATGATCAGACTATGTCTATACATAGCCAAAGCTAACAAGGGCAGCCCTAAACCTTTCAAACCATGCTCTAGGGGACTATTTAAGTCCATAAAGAGATTTCTTCAGCCTGCAGACCTTTCCTTTCATATCTGTTTCATACATCTCTGGAGGAAGAGACATATAGACCTCCTCATGTAACTCTCCATTCAGAAATGCATTCTTTACATCCAACTGATAAAGTGGCCAGTCTGAGTGTGCAGCCAAAGATAGCAGAACTCTCACATAAGTCATCTTGGCAACAGGGGCAAAGGTCTCTAGATAATCAATCCCATATGTTTGTGTATTGCCTTTTGCAACCAGCCTACCTTGTACCTTTCAATGGTGCCATCAGCATGATATTTGATAGTAAAAACCCACTTACAGCCTACTGGATCCTTCCCTCCAGGCAAATCAACCACTTCGCAAGTGTCATTCTTGTGCAAGGCATCAATTTCTGTTCTCATAGCACCCCTCCATTCTGGAATAGTAAGAGCTTCCGACACAGACCAGGGAATTGGGTTAGAAGCAATAGAAGAAAGGTAGGCAAAATATGGAGAGAGCAAACTATAAGAAAGGTGTTTGGAAAGGTAATGTGCAGTACACTTCCTTTTTCCTTTACTAATAGCAATGGGGATATCAAGGTCTGAAAAGGATGGCTCCAAAGGGGTTGTAACAGTACATGTTGTCTCTTCTGTAACTAGAAGTGCATGAAGCTCATGTGTTATAGGGAAACAATCCACTCATTTCTGGTTCTCTGCCATTGGTACAACCTGGGATTAAAAAGAGGGCAAGGAGGTAAAGGAGGAGGGATAGGAACTCTAGAATAAGAGTGAAATGATTGTTCCTCCCTTGACTCATTTGAAGGAGGAAGAGTCTCAGCAAAAGACTCAACTGGGACGGGAAGGGAAAGAGCAAACAACTGTGACAAATTCTCCCATTTTGGACAATGTCTTTCCTAAGAAGAACCATAAAAGGAAGAAAGCTCATCAAAGGTGACATCCATTGAGACATACCGAGTGCCAATCTTCGGATCAAAACAACAGTAACCCTTTTGTGTGGGGGAATAACCAAGGAAAATACACTTATGAGCTTTTGGTTCAAATTTATGTCTCTAGACACTTGGGATATGTACATAACAAGTGCAGCCAAAGACACAAAGAAGAATAGGAAAAAGATCATTGTCCGGATGAAGAAGACTGAAGGGAAACTTAAACCCCAAAACCTTGGATGGCATACGGTTGATAAGGTAGGTAGCAGTAAAAACAACATCCCCACAAAATTTTGTAGGGACATGTGAGGCAAATAGAATACTCCTTGCAACTTCAACAATATGTCTATTTTTTCTTTCAGCAACTCCATTCTGTTCTGGGGTCCTAACACAGGAGCTTTGGTGAATAACCCACAAATCAATGAGATAACGGGTTAGATTTTTCTGAAAGTATTCTTTTGCATTGTCGAATCTGAAAATTTTAATTCTAGTATAAAATTGGGTTAGGACAAATTCATGGAATTGCCTCACAAGTCTGGGAACTTCATCACAGGACTTCATCAAAAATATCCAATTTAACCGAGAAAAGTCATCAATGAACAAGATAAAATATTTGTAACCACCCATAGAAGGTAAGTGGTAAGGCCCCCACACATCAGAGTGCACAATATGAAAAGGAGAAGAAGATCTTTTATTACTCAGAGAATAACTGTTTCTATAATGTTTTGACAGTTCACACAACTCACAATGAAGACTAGGCAAACTAACTCCCTTAAGCAGTTCTGGAATAAATGACTTGATGCAGAAAAAGAAAGATGATCCAAACGAAAATGACATGACATGACTCGACTAATGAACTCTGTAGATGTAGACCCAAAAACAGCTTTTCCAGGTTGTTCATGGCACTGTCCAGGAGTATCCAGTAGATATATTCCATTCGCCTCATGGCCATTCCCAACCACCTTCTAAGACCCCAGATCATGAAAAACACAGTAGGAAGGAAAGAAGGTTACACAGCAGTTTAATGACTTAGTTAGGCTACTTACAGATAACAAGTTTGTATTTAGCCTGGGTACATGAAGAGCAGAAGGAAGAACCAAGGAATCTGTAGCCTTGATGGTTCCCTTGCCAGAGATAGGGGCAAGAGATCCATTGGCTAGGGTGATTTTGTCACGTCCAGGAAGTAAATAATCCAAAGGATCCTACGATTAACTGAATCAATAATCCAAGGGATCCTATGATTAACTGAAATGGTTGCATGATTGGCAGTAGCCCGTATACCTAAATGAGCAAATGTAGAAGAGGTTGAATTTCCCGGAATGTTGGAAGAAGAGGTCACACCCTCTAGGTGACTGATCATCCTTCCAAACTTCTCATATTATGCCTTAATAGCTGCTAACTGCTCACTAGTCGTCATCTCTTCAGTTTGGTATCTGTCACTATCTGGACCAGCAGCAACATTGGCACTCCCTGCCTTCATATTATCAGACTTACTTTTGAAACCGAAGAGGAAGAAGCTCAGGATGCAATTTCCAACACTTGTCTTTAGTGTGTTTTGGCTTTTTACAATACTCACAGATAATCTCGTTCTTCCCTGAGCTACTTGGAGTCCCTGCAACTCCCTTGAGTTTCACTCCCTTATTAGCAAAGTGATCATTTAGACCAGCCCCTTGGACCTGGCCAAGTCTTCCGCTTTCTTCACTACGTACCAAGGCATTGGCTTGAGACAGTGAAACACTATCCTTGGATAAAATATTTTGCTTTGTGATGTCATACTCTGGATTCAGCCCTGTCAAGAACTCAAACACCTTGTTTCTCTCAACCAGTTTCCTGTAGGTCTCAGCATCATTAGTGGTTTCCCAGGCTACAGCTTCTATCAAATCTATTTCTTGCCATAAAGACTTAAGTGTTGAGAAGTATACACCTAATGGTTTCTCCTCCTGTCTCAAATTCTTCACATCACTTCTCAACTTGTAAACCCTAGCCACATTTAATTTCTGGGAATAAGTTTCAGCAATACTATCCCAAAATTTCCTTTGTTGAATTCATCCACAAATAATGCTAACTAATCTGTGGTTGCATTGAGTTCACAAGCCATCCAATAGCAGTACAATTTTCTTGCATCCACTTTTCATATGATGGATCATCTTCCGAAGGAGCCTTACTGCTCCCGGAGATAAAACCCCATTTGCCTCTACTATAGATATGAATTTTTACTGATTGTGACCAAGCCAGATAATTAGTTCCATCCAGCTTGACTGTGGTCACAACCAGTAGAGAGTCTATAGAGGCTCCCGGAACCTGTCCGGATTCAGCAACATGCTTGTTTTCCAATTCTAAAGAGTTCATCTTCTTAAATACTTCGAAAATGACTTCTAACAACTTCGAATAACAACAAATGAAGACAGAACAAAAACTGTGTTTTGAGCCAACCTCTATGCAGCTGTACCAGCAACCTGCATCACACCCGAAAGCCGGGAGAAATAAAGAAAACTCAGCCGCTCCTTGTAGACTTCATAGAACACCAATCCACTTGATTCAATCTTCAAGATGAAGGATGAGAAGGCCTTCAGTCACTGAACGCCCAGGTCAAACTCCCTATGGGGCCCGCAATCAGATTTCTGCAAAAAATTAGGGTTTTGGGCAACACACTTGAATCTGTCAAGAGGACAACAAAACCAGCCCCCTTCTCTCCAGAAACCACTAACAACTAGGCTGAAATAAGAGGGAAAAACGAGCCTACTCTGATACCAAGAAGAAAAACAACATTTTCAAAAGAAATGACCGTTTAGAAAGTTGCAAAAATTCAAAAGAAAGTAGCAGAAATCAGATTTAAAGAGAGAAGAAGAAGAAGAAGAAGAAGGTGGCGGCAACTAGGATTCAAAGAGAGATTTTCGAACATGACCTCTCTTACACCCTTAATTCCATTTCATTAAGTTAAAACTTTAATAATTTACAGAGAGGCCCCTAGCTGGTTAGAAAATTAAGAAACATAACACAAGAAAGAATAATACCCAGATTAAGGCCCATTACAGCAACGAACATAAAAAATAAAGAAGGATAAGCAGCCTATGGGCCATTCGGCCCATCTTCTCTACAAAGATTTATATTAGATGTCTAGTGCTTCTCTTAGACTCAGACAACCCCACATAGTTCGCTTTGAGGCTGAGATGAGTGGTTCTAGTGCTTCCCTTCATAACTCTTGACTAAAATGACATCAATTCCAAATTACTGGAGCATAATACACATGAATGTGACTCACATAGTACATGGACCATATATTAAAAAATTATTAAATGTAATCTTAACTGTTCATCCAGGAACCTTTTTTTTGGCAATCAGGAACCTTGTATAACTTCCGAATGATAATAATAACACCTAACTAGAAAGAGATACACCACAAATTCAAGGATTGACACTGCATTATGGAAGCAAGGAAAGAATCCATGGAGAAAGAAATTAGTTTTCTACCCTTCAACCGACTAGAAATTAAACTTTTGGCGAACATCCTTTTAGGCCCTCCTCTTTCCTTTTTTTGTCTGAGTATGATATTTTTTGTAATATCTAATAAGTTAAAATTGATGGATATCCATTTGTAATATGTTTATCAGTCATACTTGATGAAAACACAAACATATAGAACATTGAGTTCTTCTTTGTACAAGGGGTTCACTCATTTTTTAACTTGATTAGTAACATAGAAGCTTAATAAAACACAACCATACAGAGAAGCTTAATAAAACAACTTAACAACAAGATATAACAATTGACTAAAAAAGCAGAGAAGTTACCCAGTGACTGCTTGTAAAAAGATTTTGATAATGTGTCAACCCTCATATTCTCTGGTGTAAAAAAGCTCAAGATATGCATTATCAGTTTTTCATCCCACAATTCATAAGCAAAGTCGCCATAGATTACATGTTTTTCTGGATACACAAGCAAATTCTCTGCAACAAAGAGCCCACAAAGATTATGAATTGCATAATACATAATATTTACAAACTTAATGAATCAACTGTCCTTGCAAGCATGCTTGAAGTCATTCTACAAGAATAATTACTATTAGTGTTCCTTTTAGCTGTGATAATATCATCCTCAAAATGAAAAAAGAAAGAGGATACCCAGGAAATAAACAGGGGACTAAAATGATGGGAGAAATCATACTGATACTGCAATTAAGTTTATTATGGTAATTGGGTTTCTTAAATAAAAAAGAAAAAGAAAAGACACAACCAATCACACCAACACATCAATATTCTGAACAATAGAGAGTGGGCACACGAAATACTATTAGAAGCAGTTTATTATGGTAATTGATTTCACAAACCAAGGCTTCAGCTTTTAGAACATATTTCCTACTCAACAATTTTACGATCACATAGAGTTATCATAAATGCTGGTGAGAAAAAACAGGGGATTTTGACAATAACAGACACCTCTTTTCACAGTAGGAGTTTCAACTTTCAACTCCCACTAAATAGGGGTGAGCATTGTTTGGTTAAAACCGAACTGAAATTTTCGGTTTCGGTTTGTTTGGTTCGGTTTTTGTGGTTTTTGGTTTTTCGGTTCAGTTAATTCAATTTTAAAAATTTCAGTTTCAGTTTCGGTTTTCAGGATTGGAAATTCAGTTAACTGAAAAAACCGAATTAACCAAAATTTATTATATACATAATATAATATATATTATTAATATGTAAAACATAACATATTATAATATGTATATAATATATATTATATAAAATATTAACATATAAAATACATTAACATATACATATATTATAATATACATAAATATATTAATATATATAATATATAATATGTATTAGTATTGTATTAATAAAATTCGGTTTTAACCAAAAACCAAACCGAAAAATCTGGTTTCGATTTTTTAATAATTCGGTTTCGGCTCGGTTTTATATTTTAAATATTCGGTTTATTAGACCCTTAAATCATATTCAACACATACAATTTGATATCCAATACCAAATATATAAATTAGACCCTTAATTCGGTTTTTAACCGAATAAACCAAATGCTCACCCCTACCACTAAATATTAACAACAAAGAGAATAGGATAGACCCTTAAATCACATTCAACCCATACAATTTGATATCCAATACCAAATATGTAAATTAGGGTGGCACTCTATTAGGTCAAGTAGGTTGAGCCTCTAGTTTGATCTGATAAGATGAAAGAAGTGTACAGCTGGTTCAGTTTACAATGATGAATCATCATATAAGACAGAATGTAAACCAATAGATGGACATATGCGGGTAAAAATGTTTGTTTTCATTGTCACACACATGAAATCTTAAGCATGATGTTTCAGCTTCAAGAATCAAGATTCCTGAGATCTTATTAAGTAATATAGTTAGAAGATGAAAGAAGGTTGAGCCTCTAGTTTGATCTGATAAGAAGAAAGAAGTGTACAGCTGGTTCAGTTTACAATGATGAATTATCGTATAAGACAGAATGTAAACCAATAGATGGACATATGCAGGTAAAAATGTTTGTTTTCATCATCACACACATGAAATCTTAAGCATGATGTTTTTCAGCTTCAAGAATCAAGATTCCTGAGATCTTAATAAGTAATATAGTTAGAAGATTTTCTGATATTCTCAACACCTTTGCAACGCAAAGACCTCATATGCTTCCTGTAGAATACCGACCATGAATAAGTTGCACTACAAGGTTCTTAATGGTACCATGTGCAAACTGAGCTACAGAAAAGAGGATCTGGCACAGATTTACAGAATTGAATAAGGATCACGCACATCTTATATAAAAAGACCAAAAAAAAGAAAAAAGAAAAAAATGGAAAGGAAAGGAAAGGAAAAGAAAAGAAAGGGAAGGGAAAGAAAAAGAAAGAGAAGAAAAAAAAAAGAAAAAAGGAAAGGGAAGGGAAGAAAAGATAAGGGGAAATAAAGAAAAAATGAGATCCCCCCTTCCTCTTCCTCTTCATCCTCCTCCCCTTCCTCCTCCTAACCCCCCTCCTCTTAAGGAGGCTTACACCTCCTTGTGATCGGGAGGCTTACGCCTCTGGCATTCTGAACTACGTCTCACACCTCTAGGTAGTGGAACGCCTCGCGTCATGCCTCCACATTTTAAAACATTGATAAGGATATATATGATGTCCAATACATAGACACAACATAGCAAAATTTCATAAAATGGAACAACCATATCAGATTACTCCTTGCTGCAAAAAGAGACTAAAGTTGAAGCATGGATCTATTAAACTCTCACCGCAGAAATTCCTAGATGAAAAATCATAGCATAGGATAGTGTTATCTTGATAGATTGGAGAAGCCATATTTGACAATTAGAAACCTCAGAACATGTGAAAAGCATACTAGCAAGCCAACTTTGTCAATGTTTCCATCTTTATCGGTATAACTATAGGTATTTAATGTAAGTGTGCATTTCCAGTTATTTTGTCATGATTAGGATTTTTAAACATAAAAATGCTAGTCAATGTACTAATGCCGAAACCTTGATCTCCTAGATTTTTTTTTATCAAAAACAGGAAGTTTCATTACTAATTAAATCAGATCAAAGTACAATGAATACATAAAAGAGGAGAGATAAACCTTCTTAAATCTCCTCAAAGACTTAATAGGTTACAATTGAGCCCAAAACAGTTGACTTCTTCTTACCCCTTGTTTTGCTAGAACATCAGCAAAGGCATTAGTAATTCTTGTAACCCAACTAAGTCACACATCCATATCTTGTGTCAGCCACTTAAAGAGTCCCCTATACCAATTGGACCTGAGAATAAACCATTAATTCTGCCTTCACCATTTCTATAAACACCTCCAATGCTGGAAGGGCCCAGGTTACCTGCACCACCCCCATCAAAATTAAGCTTAATGTAGTCATTAGCTGGTGGAGACCATAAGGGGCTTGTAGTAGACTTATGACAGTCTGAACAAGCCACTTCCTTCCAGTTTTTCATAAAGCCACCTGTTGAGAAATCAGCACAGAGCTCCAAAGATTCCACCCATTGGACCACTCTAATTAAGATGGTTTCTATGATTGCCTCTCTACTTCTTTCCTTACTGAAAAAAATTCTTGAATTCCTTTCTTCCCATATGGTCCAGCTCAAAGCAGCCCTCAAGCATTTCCACAATACTCCTCCCCTTTTCTTTGGCCAACTAAAGAAATTAAAGGCAAATAAGCTTTGAAATTAGGCAGGGAAGCCCACCTACACCCAAACAGTAAGAAAAACCATTCCTAAATATAGGTTACAAAGGGGCAGGAGATAAATAAGCGGAAGCAAGTTTCTCCATACAGGAAGATTGTAACCTCCTGTATTTTTATTTTCCCCCGATATATAAACAACATATAGGAGTGTAACCTATTTCATTTAAATGGTTCTTGGCAGTTTAGAAATTCCCATATCTTAAGGGCTAAGCTAATCTCCGAAGTTTCATAAAAGGCCTCTGAGACCAATTCCCGCATACAGGGAAATATGTATGGGATCAAATGCAACATCCCCATCAAAAAAACACCACTCCCATCAAGGTCTAAGGCTGTCCAAATATAAAACTGGTTTTCTGCCACTGCCTCAGGAAAAAAAAAACTTGTAAAAATACTAACCTTTGTCTGTTGGGGCCAGCCAGTCTAGACCAAGGATAGCTTAGGCCACATCAGCAGATTATATGTCAGAGACGGTTGCAACATCACATGATTGTAATTTTGAGACCTCTCCCTAGCCTTTCTCTTGTTCATTTTCCTTCATTCCTTTTCCCCTCTTCCAACTTCTCTGTTTCGACTTTCAAGACGGTAAGTCTCCCTCAAAGGGACTTCCAATGGTGGGTAGTTCTCACCACACCCTTAGAAAGAAACAGCATAACCTTTGTAGGAACACAAACTAGTCTTCCAAGGCAACTTGAAAACTCCAAGTACAGTGGTACACAGAGCTCCCATCCAAGGCAAGACAAGTTTTCAATTGATTATATGGTACCCATGATGGTTCACAGCTCTTACACCAAGACCAACATGATACTCATGGTGGTCAACAGCTCTTACCCAAGACACAACCAACCATCAAATTCACATGTCAGTAAACTTCCCAGCAACAACAAAACACTACCAACATCACATAGCCCAAACCACAATCACTACTATTTAAGGAAGAGGATACCACATGATCAGAGACCATAACATTCCAAATACCCTAATAACACATAAACAACTTGAAAACAATTTATCCTTAGACAAAGATTAAGAAATCCCCTTAACAAAAAATCTGCAGTTCCTTTAAGCATTTCATCAAACACACATGGTGAAAGGGACTTTACTATTGAAGAAACTTGAGCATTTCAGGAAACACCTTCACTGCAACAAATGTCACTAATGATCCAGTGACAAAGAAGTGCTGCAGGAGCTTAAAGGTCATAATATCCCATAAATGCTTCTTCAAAGAGCTGCTGTGCACCTAACATATACATGCTAAGTAAATATTTCATGGACAAACAAATATTTTTCAAGCAAAGAATTACTCCCCCTGTCCATTAACCTTCAAATCAAGTCCCATCCTCTTGGTCTAATTAAAATCCTCCAAAAAATGGTGCATTTTGACAAGTTCAATTTTGACGGATGCGCAGCCAAGGCAATCCAGGGAGATCAGGAATTGGAGGTGTGATCCAAAACAATGTAGGCAATATAATTGCAGTCTTCACAGGCCTAATTGGAGCGGGCAACTAAACATGAACAGAACTTGTGGCTGCTTTGGGGGCCTTAGAAGAGTAAAGTCGTTGAATTAAAGCATTATCATTGAAAGGACTCAAAGGAATAACAAGGTGGTTGAGGAGTAATCAGGAGAGAACATGACAATACAGAAATACGATTACGGAAGTCAGAAACCTAATGGAGTGAATGAGGACAAGAGTGGAGTGGGTCCCTCCGGCTGGCAGCTGCCAACAGTCTGGCAGATAAGTTGGCAAAACAGAATGCCACAAGGAATCATTTGTTTTCAGGGGAGTTGTAAATCTAACAGTAGGGGTGGGCTGGGCGGCTAGCTGAGGCTATCTACCTTAATGAGCATATTATGTACTCTTTTCTTTTTGATCATTAGTTAAATTTCTTAATCGTTAATGATAAAAAAATCCTCCAAAGCCCAAACTAGCATCCAAAAGGGGAAAAAAGTTCTTCAAATAACCAGAAAGACAACAACCCACTCTCTCCACTTGAAGGCAATAGAATCAGCTGCCAACTCATGTCTCAACTGAAAGACAAGCTGATTATGAAAAAAAGGGAAGAAGAATACAGCCAATAGAGTATTAAATGAGATTTGGAAATAGATAAAAAAATAAGGGAGTAGCATGAACAGTTCAACTGTCTAGGTCAATGGCGGGTTGAAAACACTGGTCCAATCTATAGACAATAACCAAGCTCCTTACAACACCAAAATACATATCTCAACATAACAGATATAAGAAGAAACAAAAACAAGTCAAGGGAAAAAGAAGAAAAACAAGACCTGCAAGTTCTGCAGCATAATCATCCTGTGGCTGCTCCTCTGCAAACCTGAATTCCATATTTCCTATATCTTGAAGTTCTTTAAAAATCCATTCCTGAGGAGCTGCTTCACGCAGAAGCTTAAGGTACTGATAAACAACTCCAATCACCTCATAAACCTGCCAAACCATTAAGAAATATTAAACAGAAACAAGAAAGTTAACTTGCACATTGTCTATATGATAGAAGCCAAAAAGATATAAGGAATGGTGAATGCAACAGCTGTAGAGAGGTTTGTGCTATTCCTAACTCAGATAAGGGTTAAACTCCTTAATCTGTAGACAATTCTCATAGATTATCAAGACAATACTCTTCATTTTCAAAATTTTTGAAGAAGAAATCTTAAGAAAGAAGCAGCCTAACAGCATACACAATCTACAATTTGTTCTTCATACTAGTCTTTCAAAATAGTGTCCTGCAATTTCTTTTTAGGAAGGATTCTCAACCAGTCATTTGCACTTAATTGTGAGGAACGAACTGAATAATGGAACAAGTCTGTCAGATTTGTTGGACATTGGACAATTATGAAGGGATTTATAACTTAAAAGAAACAATAAGATGAAAACCAAAACAGAGAAAAAAATTACTATCTGTAAGAACTATTCCCACTTTCCTTCAGAAAGCTTTTGATTTTTTTCCGCTTTCAAAATTCTCATTTTTTATCAGTAACATGTCAGGAAATTGTAACTCCACTACTGTGAGCTGTCAACACTCTTGTGTGAATAGAGAGAAGAACAAGAATAATCTTAGAGGTGTCAAGAATCAATGACCCCAACCTCAAAGAGTCACTTATATATTAAAAGATATGTACAATTACAAGAATGCCCCTATAAGGCTGAAAGAGAAAAGAAGAATAAGAAGTATAAGTAATGTACAACAAGGACTATACTAATAAGATACATCAAGTTGCAGAGTCTCCACACCCCCCTCAAACTGATGCCTAGACATAAGCATCAGTTTTTCTATAAGAAAGGGATGTTGAACTCTAGTCATAGCTTTGGTGAACATATCAGCAATCTGCATGTCCGAGGCTACATGAGGAAGCGATATATACCCAGTAGTAAAGAGATCTAGGATAAAGTGGCAGTCCACCTTGATGTGCTTGGTCCTCTTATGGAAGACAGGTTTAGATGCAATCTTGATAGCACCCGTATTGTCTACATAAAGAGGAATAGGAGTAGGAAGCTGAATGCCAAGATCCATAAAGAGAGACTGTAACCAAACAATCTCACTGCAAACCGAAGACATGGCCCTATACTCTGCTTAAGTGGAAGACTTGGAGACTATTTGTTGTTTCTTACACTTCCAAGAGATGAGTGAATCACCCATAAAAACACACCACCTAGAAGTGGACCTATGAGTGTCTGGACACCCAGCCCAATCCACATCAGCATATGCTCTCAACTAAATAGGAGAGGAGAAGAACAGTCTCTGGGAAGTTGTGCTTCTAACATATCAAATGATGCGATGAACAGCAGTCATATGAGGATGACGAGGAGAAGAAACAAATTGACTAACAACTTGAACAGCATGAGAAATATCAGGCCAAATCATAGTGAGATACACACATGAAATGCAGAGGTACACACATGAAATGCAGAAGCACCTTTACCTGATGTAGAAGCGAATGAGGTAGAAGGGGTAGGAACCGACCTATCTATCTTCCCGAGTGTCCTACCATACAATTCCAAATGATCTCTGAAGGAGTTGATGATGTCTTCCTTGGGATCGGAGCCACTGGATATTCTTGGGGAAACACAGTAGTCTGATTATTCTGCGGATAGTCTTGTGTGGCTAGATTTGCAAAAGTAAATTTCTTCTGAGGAGGCTTCTTTGAAATGTCTTGATTTTTGGTTGCCCACTTGGGCTTCCCCACCAACTCCCAACGGACTTCTCGAGTGTGTCTAGGTTTCTGGCGGTGAGTACACCACAGTTTGTCTTTATCTTCACCTTTCCTTGGTTCTCCCTTTTTCATTCCTGTGTTACCCCCTCTTGCAGCTAGGGCAACAGGTTGCTCCCCCTCAGAAACATTCATGAGATTTTTTCTACTCTCTTCAGATTGGACTAGAACATATATTTCCTGAACTAAAGGAAGTTCCGTACTTCCCAAAATCTGCACCCTGAGAGGCTCATAAGCCAGATTCAGCCCATGCAAGAAAGCAAAAACCCGCTGTTGGGAGACAAGTTTTTTATAGTCTTGTGCATCTTCATCATTCCTCCAGACAATGGTCTGATAACAGTCCAGTTCCAGACAGATGTAAGGGCTGAATAGTATGTAGATAGGTTACGGTCCCCTTGCTTACATGTAGATGATTCTGCTTGAAGTTGATAAATCTTGGCAAAGTGCCTTTGTTCAGAATAGGTTGCCTTGACTTGTTCCCAAATTTCACAGGCTTTGTCAACCCATATGAAATTTTTCCATACATGAGGTAACATGGAGCCTAACAGCCATGACATAACCATGCTGTTTTCTTGATCCCATCGATCATGTTCAGCAGTACCAGACTTTGGTTCTTTTATTTTTCCACTTATATAACCAGCCTTCTCCCTAGCTGTAACATAAAGTTTGATTTGGACCATTCCAGATAGTTCAAACCAGCAAAGGGGGTAATAGACATAGAGAAATTCATGCCGTCCATCCCCCCATTTAAGTTTCCTTGCTGGGAAGTAATACTAGAGGTTGCTGAATCCTCAATAACCATTTTCACAGAAAATCTACTGCTGTTTTTCCAAAAACCGAATATGATAATAGAGGGTTTTTTGTCTAGAAAAAAAAAAATAGGAGCCTCCAAAGAATGTTTAACAGTACTATAAGTGATAACTCTTAGTTGAAACACCTCAGTTTACAGGAGGAGGAGGAGACCACCAGTCCCTACAATCCTCAAAACTGTGGCATTCACAGTGATAAAAGGTTTACGTATGAATGTAACAGTGCATACATGTCTTCCACGACCCACAACACATAGAAAAACCCTGAGAAAATCAAGTTCTGGTGCATTCAGCTGCCACCACAAACCCAGAAAAACACCTTACTGCATTCGGTTGCCACCACAGATCTGGAGAGATCTTTTACTGCATTCGGCTGCCAGCACACCCTTCTCCTTGGTACAGGAACCAAGAGAGAAGAAAGAAAAAAAAATCAGGGACTGAAGGTTGAGCCCAGAAGAAGAAACCACGATCTTGAGAAAAAACAGATTTCCAGAAAAGGAAAGAAATCACGATCTGAGAAGAGAAGTTTGCGCCCAGATCAGAGATGCTCTGATACCATGTAGTTCGACAGAGAAGAGAGGAGAGAAGAGAGAAGAGACAAAAGAGAAGAATTATTTTCAATACTAAAGCTGGTGGCACCTAAGTTAGTGTTTATACTTAGGGCGACAGCTCATAAGAAATACAAGAGGAAAGGGCAGAAATGCCCCTACTAGGCCACAGGCCGCTACACATTACAACAGAGACCAAGAGATAACTCAATGTGACCATTTCCGGTACCTTGATTCAATAATTCATAGCAAGGGATGAGGAGGATGTTACCCAAAGAATTAGAGCAGGGTGGGCAAAATGGAGGACTGCATCTGGAGTAAATACCACTTAGATTACAAGGAAAAATCTTTAAAACAGTCATAAGGCCAGCTATGTTGTATGGAGCAGAGTGTTGGGCAGTCAAGAAACAACATGCCCAGAAAATGAATGTGGCAGAAATGCGAATGCTAAGATGGATGAATTGAAAAACTAGAAAGGATAGGATTAGGAATGAAGTTATCTGTAGGAACTAGGAACCTAGGAGTAGATCCAAAAGGTGATAAAATGAGAGAGAGTAGACTAAGATGGTTTGGGCACATGACCAGTTAGAAGAAGTGATCTGTTACACATTGAAGGGGCTAGAAGAGCTCGGGGTAGACCAAAAAGGACATGGGTAGTAGTAAGAAATGATTTAAGCACTAATAGTTTAACAGCAGATATGTGTGTTAATAGAATGGATCAGCAAAACAGGATTCATGTAGCCAACCCCATGTAGTTAGGATAAGGCATGGATGATGTTGATATTGATGATGATGATATCAGGAAATCCTTATTAAGGCTCAGTTTGGGAAGATTACAAATACAAATATGTACAGTGCAAAACAAGTTTTAGAAATACAATATACAAGGTTTTTCACTGTACATATTTGTATTTGTACACTTCCCAAACTGAGCCTATAGAATAGAAGTTTTTTTTTTTTGAAGAAGAAAGTAAAAAATAAAAGTATTATTAGACAAGAAATACAAAAGAATTCCTTGGGAGAAGTGAAGGCTGAGTTAGAAGACACCCAAAACATGCAGAAGTTTCCTACAGTCAACCCATGGAGGACAGACCGCCAATAAATGCCTAATATTCTCCATCATCGTATCATTTCTTCAGGAAACTCCTTTTTTCTTTGTTTTTAGCTATAAGTACAATATTCACCCTCCCCCCACCAAAAAAATGCTATTATATTATATCTTGTTTGTATGGGAAGCTCATTATTTTCTGATCAAATGACTAATATTGTTCTGTTCCACTTATATTATTTCCTATTTTGCTTCTTCCCACAAAATCCAATCCTCTGAACTCGATCAGCATTGGCAAAGTCATACCATTTACAATATGATTCGTGAATCAAATTGTAAATCACAGATTCTAATTTGAATAGTATGAATAAATTCTCTTCAAAAAAATGTCACAATTATCATGTAAATCCTATAATTTGATTAGTCCATCTTAAGATTATTTTATTGGTAATTGTGAAACTTCATTTAATTATAAACAAAATATTTACAAATTACCTCCAACCAGGCTGGATCTAGAACATCCACACCCGTATACTAAAACTATACAAGAAGGCTCAAAACAGTTGATCCCTTAAAACCCTTAGTTTGGCTAAAAGTATCAGCCAGACCATTTGCCGGTCGTTCTATCCTTCTCAAAGTAGCCCCTATTTCCATTACAATACATTACAATCTCCCATACACACCTTGGCTGTTACTGTTCATCCAAGTTATTACCAACTTTTTAAATCCCCTTCTACCACCACTTGTTCAGTTGCTTGGCTAGTCAATGGACTTTTGTTTTAAACCCCTTTCTAGAATAAGACTTATTAGGGTTATTTAAAACATATTTAAAGACCTTTTAATTTTGTTTTCCATCATAAGTAGATTAAAAAGCCAACATGTGTGGCTTAATTGACAAAGTCAAACTTGATTGTATCATCTTGCAGTAATTGCGTACAAGTGATAAATTTTGTTTCGATAAATACATATGTGATGAATGTGATTGAAAACGGTGTAAAATCATTTTTATATATATTTAACTATTTAGTTTTTTGCTATACATATTGAATTTTTTTACAAATATATAGAAAATAAAGATAATATTATGATTACAATTCAATTTGATTAAACTTCCTATTCAATTTACAATACTCCAATTTTCAAAACATTGACTTCACCCTTTGACTAAGGCAAGCAGCTGGTAGTGGAAGCAAAGAAAGAATTATCATCGACTAATGGCCAAGCCAAGAAAATAGAAAATAATGAGAAACAAAAAGAAACTATCAATGACAAGAGTATAAATAATTAAACAAAGTGGACTCAAAACTTTGTTTCATGAGATAGGGAGAACTACAATGGAGAGAGAATATCAATAAATACATTTTTCAAAAATTAAAATACCAACTATAACAACTTGACACAGACTCCACTCAACCATATGGACTCCACAAGTATGAACTATAACATTACAACGACAACAACAACAAGAATCTGTAATAAGAGATACCTTTTCTAAGCCAGAATCTGTAAGATGTATAGAAATACCAAAGATGTATGCTACAGAAGATCTATTCATTCCTTCATCTCCAACACCAGCAGATAATGAAGATGCCCAACCTTTAGCTTTTAGAAAGAAAAGCAAGCTTCCCCTGCCCTCTGAAAATCAAGATTTTATCTAGTCAATGTAACATTTATTCTATATGTTTTGGGCTATGTTTTGCTGGAAAGAAGAAACAGAAAAGAGAAAGAGTGAATGTAAAAAGGAATAAAAGTATTATCTACGTCCCTATTAAGGCCTTTAAAGAACAGTGACAAAGAACCACTTAACTAATGTGCATGCAATGCCAGAACTTCCCCTATGCATGATATAACACGTATAACAACATTAAATGACACAAATACCAACAATATTAAATAACACATATACCATAATCCATACCAAAAAGTTCCTCAAAACAACCAAGTACTATAATTACTAGATATTAATAAAGCACTAAACTCAATAGAATGTAATCCAATATCTTAGATAAATTTGAAACAGTTCTAGGCAAATTAAAATTTTGAGCACATATCGCATCTTGTATCTCAGCATTGTCCCAATGATGCACTGCACTCAGAAAAGCCCAACAAAGTACTGAACCACAAGGGATATTTTCCAATATCTTTAACATATTTAGATCAGTTTTAGTTAATTTGAAGTTGCAGAGATAAATCCACCAAAGTAAATAATATAGCTTACCATGCCCCATCAGATGGGCTAAATAGTCTTCTGGTTTCGCCATGTATTCGTTATGAAGACACGGCAAAGTCCATGTTAAATTGAGGATATGAACATCTTTAACTGCCTCTAACCTGTAAATTCTACCAGCTTTCCAGATAGGACCTTCCTTCTGGTAATCAGGCTTTAACCGAGGACCATCTCTGACATCACTGAACAGCTCAACAACCCAATTCTGAAGCACATCTAGAGACTCTGCAACACAAGGAAAAACCATAATTTATATAGGACAAGACATTAAAAAAATACAACATAGAAACTGTCTTTTTGGTTGCCATTCTATCTTGTACATTAAATATAATAGAATAGAATAAGCCCTACAAGATTGTGAGTAAAACAATAAAAGGGGCCTGATTAGGTCAATCAGATAAATTAATTTAAGAAAACAAAAATAGAAAAAAAAAGGAATGGAGCAGGAAAATTAACATAGAGAACCTGAGAGAACCACACATTAATAAAGATGGCAGAAAATCATATGAAGCAAGAAGAAAGAGGAAGGCTAAGAGGGTGGATAGGCCCAATACGGTCAGTCTGTGCTGGACACTTGGATGTCATGCCAACACTTGATAGTCCAAGCTGAGGCCAGCAAAAAAAAAACTTGGAACTCATGAACAAGGTACTACAAAAAAATATGTATTTTTTTATCAATAACAGAAACTTTTATTAATAAAAGGTGATGGAAGAAGATACAACAGGAAGGGGGGTAAAATCTCTTACCCCACCCTAAAAGTAAAACATCACATTACAACACAGCCCAAAAGAAACTAACTCTTCCCACCCCTTGTTTAGCTAAATAGTCTGTGAAAGAATTGGCACTCCTCTTGGACCATTGAAACTGAATTTGCATGTCTTGAGTGAGCTGGTAAATTTTCTTTTTTTCATTCGAGAACTTCCACAAGCTAACATCTTCCTTTTGCAGCCAGTTAATAGCCAATCTAGAGTCACCCTCCACCAGCAACTTCCTAATATTCAGCTGTTTGGTTCTTTTTATTCCTTCTAATACTGCTGAAATTTCAGCTCTCAGAGAATCCCCCAACCTATAGGCCCTGAAAACATGGCCAAAATTCAACCTTCTTCATCCCTAAACACTCCACCTATACCTGAAGGGCCTGGGTTTCCTTCATTGCTGCCATCAAAATTCAATTTAGTGAACCCCAAAGTTGGAGGAGACCAAGTTGGAACAGGGGAATTAATCAACCGAGCGGACCAGGCTACTTCTTTCCAAATTCTAATGATATCTCCCGCTGAGAATCCTTCAAATAGCTTCATAGACTTGACCCAACGAACCACCCTAACATAGATTAAATCAATGATGGCTTCTTTGTTCTTTTCTTTTTCATGGACAATTCATTGATTCCTTTCCTCCCACACTGTCCAGCATACAGCAGCTCTTACACATCTCCACAAGATTTTACCCCTCTTTTCTAAACCCCCCACTGAAGTAGAGTTAAACAAGCTTTGCACACTTGGGGGGTGGGCCACCTGCAACCAAAAAGACAAAAAAAAACAACACCAGATTTATGATACAAAAGAACAGGAAACTAATACATGATAACAGCTCTCACCATTCTTCTTACATAAGATGCACCAGTGCAGGGATAAACACCAACTTGGCCTTTTCTTTTGAAGTAAGTCACAAGTGTTACACTTTCCTAGGATAGCTTCCCAGCAAAAAGCACCTACTCTAGGAGGAATTGGTCTACCCCAAACTTCCAGAACCGGGAAAGGAAAATCAAGTGCCGATTGGGAATGAGTTAATTCCTTGAAAAAAGAAGAGAAAGAAAAGATACCCGAGGGAGTAGGAGCCCAAATCCTATTGTCCAATCTAGAGGGGTCAACAACTACCTCCTCCAGAATCTTGAGCAAATTAGAAATGGAATCCAATTCGGAGTCTCTAAGAGCCCTTCGAAAGCCCAGGTTCCAATCAAGGCCAGAATTAGAAAAGGTTAGGAAGGTAGCAACAGGCTCATTTTTAAACCTTGAGAGAGAGAACAAAGAAGGAAACTGCTCTTTCAAAGGTGTGTCACCCACCCAGATATGTTCCCGAAATCTAACAGAATTACCAGAGCAAAGGTCATACCTGATAAAAGGAAGGAAGGACGGATGAATTGCATGAATAGACTTCCAGGGAGGAGAAGCTCTTGTGGCCCTAGATAAAACACCCATGTCCCAGCCATCTACCTCTTGCCCATGAATACTTAGGATAATTTTAGCCCACATATTATCCTTTTCCTTTGTCAGCCTCCATTAGGATTGTTCATAAGAAGGCCCAAACCAACCAACCCGGACCGACCCAACCCGAGTCGGCCGGGTTTTCATCAGCACGGGTCGGTTTCGGGTTGTGTAAATTCCTAAACCGATGATTCGGGTCGGTTTCGGTTTTCACACAAGAAAACCGAAACCGACCTGAACCAAACCGACTTAGTTTCTAGTTCAAACATGAAGTTCCAAGGCCCATCAGGCCACCTAGTTTTTGAATGGTTGCAAGAAACTTTGGATTAGTGAATAGTGATTAATGAACAGCCTTTGTGATTAACTTTTCATTTAAATTTTATCATAGGAGATGGCTGAAATGATGTTCAATTTATGACTGTTTTTAAAATTAGCAAGATTTTATCACAAGGATGAACTTAGAACCGAAACCGACCCAACCCGACTCAAACCGACTAGGTCGGTTTTGCTTAACACTGGGTCGGTTTCGGTTTCTATGCCAGGTAACCCGACCAGGTCGGGTCAGTTGGAAAAACCGCAGTAAACCGACCCAACCCGACCCGTGAACAGCCCTAGCCTCCATAACCATTTCCCCAACAGAGCTTCATTCTTCTTCTGCAAATTACCCAAGCCAAGACCACCATTTCCCCAACAAGAAAAGATGTATCAAAAAACAGGAGTAACAGTTCAATTTAATATTCATTTAGTATGTAAAACATGCCATGCTTTATGGGTTTTGACCTTTGGGCACTTGAACACATGGCAATTGGCACACATGCCAGTTGGCTGAACTACAGAAGAAGTTCAACAATTATCAAAAATGAAATGGTTTACTCGAGAAAAAGATTAACTTCCTATTACTTATTCCACATATATAAATAGATTAACCAAGAAGACTTCCAACCATCCATACTCATATTTCCAATATGGTTTTGACATCCAACCAACCTAAATACAGCTCATAATATTTAAAAGGGCAACCCAGCGCACAAGGCTCCCACCCTAGTCACCCAGGTCGCAATGGTGCAACCACACCTAAATACATTTCATAGTTTTCAACCACATAAGAAACACCACAAAAACTCATTCTAGACTTTCCAATCCCAAATTATCCAATTTTGTAGACTAGACATTTGACCATCTTCACTTCCTAGGACATAATTGACTTCAATGCAAGACTTATTAATTGATCCCATAATCTAGAACTCAAATTTTCTAGACTATTTGACTCAACAAGCTTCTACCATTAATAGATGCACTCACTAAGGCCTCAGAACTCTATTCCACTCCTTCACAAAGACCAAAAATACCCTTTAATAAATTTCCATGTTAAGACTAAAATACCAGCCTTTTTTGGTCACTGAAGGATCCAAATTCTCCAATTGATCTGAATTTTTAAACGTAGGTGATAAACTCATAGAACCATCACATACCCAAAATGAAAGCCAATCCAATGCCAACATCCAAACCATGTAATTAGATTGTAAGGGAACTTTTCTTATCACTTTTGGAAATCATGGATTAAATTATCTTCTCCAACGCATATTGTAAAATAACACTAGGTACCAATACATTTGATAATCAATAAGCATAAAAAAGATTTGCAAGAAATCTAGCTAATACATTGGGATATTGGCCAAAAATAATATGCAGAGGCATACATCCGTATAGAATAGAATGTATAGACCCGCCCTAAATGGGGGTGGGATGGGGATGATTTTCCCCCGCATGGGACAGGAATGGAGAAATTTCCATCCCCGTTCACGGGGACAAAGAGAGCACTCTCCGCCCCGCGGGGACCCCGGTCCCCACCCTGGGGAGAGAACACACACGCATACGTCTACATATGTATATATGTATGTATATTAGTATTTTTAAAAATATGGTTGAATATGTTTGAATATATTTGAAGCTTTTTTAATAGGACTATAAATTTTAACTATTTCATTTTTAATTTTTTTATATAAAATAAAAGCAAAAACAAAACGGTTGACATTATAAAAAATCACAGGGAGTGGGGATCCCAATGGGGATGGGGATAACCTTGTCCCCGTCGGTAGGGACGGGGATGGGGAGTAGCTCCATGTCCCCGTCCCGCCCCGTTGTCATTCCTAGCCTCAACTCAACCCCCTTCTAGCTCTTTGCATTCTTTTCCAATTAAGGAGGTATGATGCAAGCCAATCCCCCCTAAGGTTGGAGCTTTTTGTTGGGAAGTTATCCATGAGAAAATTAATGCATGTAACCTTCTCCACAGAAAGAGATCTAAGTGGTACTTTCCCTTTATTTGTGTGTCCAGTGTAAAGCCAATGGTCAGACCTGCTATCACTTACTAATCCTCTGGCTAATGCGCCAAGCCTTTTCACTCCAAAATGTGTTGCTTGGCCAAAGAAAAGCAGGGAAGAATTGTGGAAATGCACAAGAACAGAAATAAGTTAGACAATCTAGGAAGAAAGAAACTCAAAAATCTTCTTGGAAAAGAAAAAAAGCAAAGAAGCTATAATTGGAAACATTATGATTTGAGTGGCTTGTTGGCTGAAATCCTTAAAAACTTTCTCAATTGTATCCTTAAAAACTAGAAGTAGTCAATTCTTCAACTAATAAGATGGTCATAATCCTCTCTCTTCTCTCCAGCGGAAAAAGGTCTCACTAAGCTCAATTTTGATCAAAGTAGCCTGGAAATCCAGGATTATTGGGAACTGGAGGGGTATTTAGGGGTGAAGAGGGTAAAGTTATTGCATTATACTTAGGTCCATTGATGCAGGTGACTCCTTAAGAGCAAAGGTTATGACATTTTTTTTTGTTGTTGTTGTTGTTGTTGATAGATAACTGAAAGTATTTCATTAATATAAACAAGTATATACATAGGATTACAACTGGGGTCTGGGTACCCCTAAAAGCATATGGAACAACAGAAACCAATACAGACACACATTACCCATTAACATATAAAACTCCCTGCCCTTCCCTTACCCACAGGAGAAGTTGCACACTCACACCTTAAAACAACTTGGCCCAAAATAACTGTTCCCTTTCAACCCCTTGCCTTGCTAGAGTCTGTCATCCCATTAGCAACCCTTGGAACCCATTGAAAAGTTATTGTTACACCTCTCAAATGCCACTTGCTCTTCTTTACCAAATCTCGGTAGCTCCAAGCTGCCTTCTTTTTATTCTTTAACCAACTTACTGCTACTTGGGAGTCTCCTTCTATTAACAGCCTTCTTAAATTTAGATTTTCTGCTAATTGGACCCCATACAATACAGCAAACAATTCAGCCTTAGTTGAATCTCCTTGGGCAATAGGATCCAAAAATATAGCTAAGAAAGTTCCATCTTTATCCCTGAATACCCTCCTATGCCTAAAGGGCCTAGGTTGCCGAAACAGCTTCCATCAAAATTAAGTTTTACAAAGCTTTCTGACGGTGGTTCCCAAAGCTGAACTCTTCCAGTCTTTCTTGTAGACAAAAGGGCCACTTCCCTCCAATTCCTTTTTATGTCATCAAAGGAAAATGGAGAGAATAGATCCAAGGTCTTAACCCAATGAATCACCCTTAGGAGGATATAGTCTAAAATTGCTTCCAAACTTCTCTCCTCATCTTTGAAGAGTCTCGCATTTCTTTCTTCCCACATTGTCCAAACGACAACGGCCCTAGTGCATCTCCATTAGGGGTGTAAACAAATCGAATTTGAATCGAATCAAGCAATATCCGAATTCGATTGGATATCCAAGGGATATTGAAAATTAGTATTCAAATTTGATTAAATATTTGAATATTCGATTCAATTCAAATTCAACCAATTAATTATATTAGGTAATTAATAAATATTTTATTTATATAAAATATATAAATATATAAATTATTTATATAATTTAATTATTATATATAAATTATATAAAACATTAAATATTTCTTATATTATATATAAGAATTAAATAATCGGTCGAATTCAGATATTTATCGAATCAAATCAGGTCATATCTAGTGTTTTAAAAGCGCAAGGCGCAAAAAAGGTGCAGGGGCCAATTTGCGCCTGAGGCACAAGGCGCAAGGGGCCAAGGGCCAAATTCAAATCCGATTAGTTATTCGGTATGAATAGGATATCCGAATTCAACCAATTAGATATTCGAATTATCCGAATTTGATTTGATTATGTCGAATACCAAGTTCAAAATTGGATTTTCGAATACCGTTGACACCCCTAATCTCCATAAGAGTCTTCCTCTTTTCCTTGGCCACCTAAAAAATTCACCTACAAACACACTAGGTAAGCTTGTAGGCAAAGTCCACCTGCACCCAAAGAGGTCAAAGAACCACTCCCAAATAGAGGTTACAAACAGACAAGAAATTAGAATGTGAAAAGCAGTCTCACCATTTGCTAGGTTATGGCATTGTTGGAAAGAGTACAATGGGCAAAAATCTTGGATAGTAGGAAGTTAACCATTTAAGGATACTCCAAGGTTGTGGGGGGAAGGCTACAAAATGACGGGGAAACTATTTGGAATTACAACAATGAGAAGAAGAAGTTCGGATGGTTGATACAAGATATAGAAGTAAGATTACAATAGGTCAAAAGAAATGTTAATTCCTAGGTAGCCAAACAACGGATGGGAGAGATCACCTATTCTGGACACAATTGTAAGAAAAAAGGAAATTGTAGGGGAGAGATAAGATTGTTTATCTATCATTGACACTTTATCTTGTATCGTACACTTTACTTATTCCCTTAAGTTAATGAAATTCATGGTTATATATCAAAAAAAAATAGAACTTCAGGAAGAATTTAAAAAATAAAATAGAACTAGAAAAAATGGGTTAATTACTTAAATATACCATATGGTTTGACTAAACTACTTAAATATGCCTTGTAGTTTTAGAAACTACTTAAATATACCATTTTTTTTGTTGGAAAAGGTAAAGTAACATTTATTGATAAGAAATTACACACAGGAGGCTGAGATCAGTCCCAGAACAGGCTCACTGATCAAATCAGAAAATACACTTAAATATACCATGTTAAAGCATTTAACTGTTAAGATTGACAGAAAATTGAAGGACAAAAATGCCCTTTAACTGTTCTTTATATTTTCAAATACGCATTCAATTGTTTTTTTTTCATTTTATTTGAAACTTTTACGAAAAATCATCAAAAATGCAATTAAAACATGTAAAGAAATAAAAATATTAGCTAAAACAATTATTTATGTTTGCTGGATTGACAAAGATTGTCAAGAGAAAATTCATCAAAAAAGATTGTCAAGAGAAAACGAAAGCTATTTTTATAACTCTTAGCTCTTTTTCTCTAATTCTTTCGTTTCATAAAAAGGAAAACAGAATATATAATATACTCAACGTCTGAATCTAAAAGACATAATATAGCCCAACCAGCGAGTGATCTGAATAAGATTCTAAAACAACATTTCAGTATCAAATACAAAATAGAACAGAAAGGGGAATTTTCAGAACACAAACTAATTTCTTGTAACAATCAACAAATACAGAGAATACCCAAAAGACGATTACTTGCATGGCACAGATTCACTAAAAAGGTCAACCTTATCTACCTCAAAACCACAATATGCTAATCACATCTGACCCAATATCCATAAACTCACAAAAGTGACTCAGGAAACATCAACAATACAAAATCTAAAATCTGAAATCCAAACATTAGATTCGTGAAGCCAACCCCATATAGTTTGGATAAGGCATGGATGATGATGATGATGATGAAATTCCTCTTCTCCAAAAATTAAGGGACAAAAAAAAGATGAAACACATGAATGAAGAGAGAAAGAAAGAAAGAGGAAAGAGAACCAAACGACAGAAAAGGAATTGGATGTACAAAAATCACGACTACAAGAACAAGACACACTAGTGAATGTGATCAAGGAATCCAACCTATAAATCATGTTGGATCACCCATCAGTTTTTATCTTCAGAAAGATGAAATTTATGTATATGTAAATTTATATTAAAGAGAAAAATAAAATTAAAACAATAAAGGAAATAAGAACAGTCAAGGAACCCTTAAAGTGATGCTATTTTCTTCTTTGTCTACTTCTATTGTTGTATCCGTGGTCCCTCACAGTTCCATCTCTCCATTGTTTGCTCTCATCGCTGTTTTTATGTTATATCCTCTGACCCAACTTATTTGTGCCACCTCTTCCTTAAGCCCTTAAACAGAAGTTTCTAGCAGTATATAAATGCCAAATATGCTTGCATTGCAATTTCCCATTTTCTTTCTTGACTCTTCTCTGTAGCCTGTTGGATGAGTATGTACTATGTAGTAGACAGCAGTTGCCAATATGCCTCTGTCAAATTTATTCAAGAAAAGAAGTTCAGTGAGATGGTGGGGTGCTCAGTGGCATGCAGAGGATAATTTGGGGGGTGCTCAAGAAGATGAGATGGAAAAGCTGAGGACAGTCAGGGCCGCAGGGGGTTCTGCATTAGGTTTCATAGTTTGAAGAACAGTATTTTGACCATGGAAGGTATAATTAGGATTATGATAAAATGTAATAGGCATTTGACATCAGATGTCAATGGCCCTAAACATTTTACTAATGTAGAGCTTATTTGTGTCAAGAGGGACCATACAAGGTATATGTAAGTAATTTTGAAAACCACAGGGTATACTTAATTGGTCAAACCACGGTATGTTTAAGAAATTAGACCAAAAAATTACAAAACCTAGGTCTTAAAATTCATTTTTCTTTTCATCTTCCTATCAAATTCCACTGTTATCTACAAAAATGGGAAAAAATATAGACAAATAGAAATTCCATGTAATTAAAATCTCAGTAAAATGCAATTTATATATCCAAAACTTCCAAATGAGACCCCTCATACAGATTGGCCCAGCCTTTGTCCAGCATTGTATGGTGCATTCAGAGGTACAATATGTAGATAAATTCTTTCAGTGCCAAAAAAAATCAATTTAGAATCCATACACCTCTTGGGAGGCCATGACCTGCACTCAACCCATCCCACACTGTGTATAAAATTACCAATGTTGTCATGTACTTAAAGATGATATGGAATTTAACTTTCTTTTTTACCACAACATAGAAGAAAAGAAGAGGAATTTATCAGAAGAAAAGCTCACCTCCCCCAATGACAACTAATTTCATTAATCCACCATGGTAGTTTTCTCTGTATAAGTGTAAAATTTGTTCCCTTAAGTTAACTCCTCTTTCCATGGCATCAACCAAGCTCTTCTTATTACCTTCCATGCAAGATGAGAAGCACTAAGTTACTTTATAACAGAAATTAGCAAGATATATACATCACAAGGAACTATTAGGATGTTACATGCTTACCCCAAAAGAATCTGTTAAAAGGGTGCCCTTGTGAAGATGTATAACATTGAAGTTGCTGAAGACGACAAGCATCATTTTGCAAAACCTGATTGAATTCTATATTTTATTTTACAAAAATGGTTTGCCATGCAAGCAGAAGACCTAACATCAGCACAAGACTTACACAGATCACAGAAATGGAAAATAAGAAGAACCAGAGTTATTCATAATTATAGACAAAACAATGAGGACCAGAAGCTACACAAACTGGGAACCGACCTGAATCTACAGCCAATATCTCTCGTTCCATAGCTTCAACTTTGACTAATGGTGAAATAAAGAATTGAGAAAACCTAAGCAGAAAATAAACCTTAACATTCAAAGATTCAGCTTTATCTAAAGATGAAACAAAGAATTGAGCAATCCTGAAAACAGAAAGAAACTAACATCTATAAATCCAACAGAAATTCTAACTCTGTTAAAAACAATATGCTTCCTTCGGCAACAAATCGATTGATATATATAAAATGTACAAATTGTCCTCCAAAAACATAGCAAGGCAGCAACCAGGTCTCCAAAACTAACTGCCTCCTCAGTTTCTTAAGCACAATCTTTCTCCAACACACATCTAAGTCCTCAGCCAACCACCAGCAGGATCACTCTAAATCAGCGCAGACCCTTGCTCCATTCTATAAACTACCCAAACAAATATAATACTGAATTCCATAGACTTCCATTTATACACCCACTTGTTGTACAGGGGTTTTCTTGTTTTGAATGAAATTCTATACTTTGCCTTTTCTCGAAACACAAATATTCAAAAACTTTGAAATATGTTACAAATGCATTTCCTAACTTTGAAATTTCAATAATGTGCTTTTTAATTTTGAAATCTAATAGTCACAGGTTTTTATCACAACCATGCACTTGAGAAAGCTAAACTTCCAGTTTTACTACATCAAAATAAGTAATCAAATTTTATGAATTCCAAAATAACAGCCAGTTAACAAAGTCATTGGTTTACCTTTCCAAAGCCCCCTTGAGAAACTCCCGTTTAACTTCAAAATGGTAGCATGTATGCTCAGTTTCTGTGTATGCATTTGATGAACCCCCACGCTTTGACAAGTAACTGTCATACTAGAAAACAAGACAGTAAAAGTCGGAATGCCAATGACAACTATATCACCACTCTCAGTAGAAATTCAAAACTCAGGGAGATTTTTTATCAGCAAAATAAATCCTATTAATTATATTAATTGGTGAAAACTGAATGGTAAAAAGGATTGGTTTCAGCCACCCAATAAGACATTAGCCAACCTCAGTCGATGTTAAAGTAGTGCCCAAAAACAACTGCTGTCTAGTTTTTCCAAAACAAAGTTACAGTAGTGCCTGAAACAACTGCTGTCTAGAGACCCCTTGTTTTGGTAAAGTCTCAGCCATCCCATTTGCAGTCCTTCTTACCCAACTGGAAACATGGTGGTGATAAAAATGGGAAGTTTTTGATAAAAACTGGAAAACTTCCAGCTTTCCAAAGCTCCTGTGACAGGCTCTCTATTTCCCTAAAAGCGTGCCTATAGATCCCATGACGATACTACCTCTCTTTTGTGGCCACACAAACGAAGTGGAAGCATATGGGCTTCACCTGTTGGAAGGAGTCCACCTATAACCAATCAAAGCAAGAGACCAAAACCAAAGACCAGCAGCAAATGGATAGGGGATTAGAAAGTGAAAGCAGGATTCACCAATAGCCTTGTAAAAATCACACCAATGAGGAGATAAGCAGGAGTGAGATCTCCTTTTCTGTAGCAAGTCAAAAGTGTTAAATTTTCTCATGATAAGCCTCCCAAATGAAAGCTCCTATTCTAGGTGGATAAAAAAAGTGGAAAAAAACAAATTAAACTAGTTAAAAAAAGTTACTCCAATTTACATATTTATCTAGAATAGGCCAAGAATCAATTACTAATGAAATAAAAGCTAGAATACCTCATTTTCATCTGGAAATTTAGTACTTCCCATGAAGAGCATATGTTCTGCAAAACACAAGAGTTGCCATGTGCTTGTATATCATAATTCAAAACCAAATATATTTGCATAAAAAATCTTGAAGCAGAAAAATGATGAAGTTAGCTTGGTTAAATAGAATAAAATATTTAAAATGCACATGTTGTCTATCATTCTTTCTTTTGTCCTTTTGACAGGGTTTCTTTCTTATTTTATCAGTGTTGTTTTTTATTGTGCTTTTTTATCAGTGTTGTCAGCTTTTAGCTTTTAGATTTTCACCCTCAAAGAGCATGGCAATGATTCATAGTACCATGCAAGACCTTTGATTATATCTATCCACCCAAAAAAAAGTTTTTTAATTACAACATAATGAAATTTTCAGTTAGTAGATTGTGTATGATTAAGGAGTAACCTCCACTCCAGTCCAGGGTGTTTTAAAACTCAACTTCATAATCAAATACTGAGCCCATCGGATTAATAGTGAGATCTTTACAGTACATTCTAGGCCAATAGGTGATGGTAACTTTTTCATAGCTAAGATTTTGTCTCTGCTACAAGGACCTGAGTTTTTGTTTCTTGGCTTTCTTTCCACGAGTAAAGGTGGACGAAGAAACACACAGATTGTAAGCAGATAGAGGAACAGTGGCCATGGTAGCCATGGAATTAGCTTTCAGAGTGAACGTCTTGTTCAAATGGATGATGGGTCCCAAAGTTTGACAATTAATTGGCCGATAGTCAGGATAGTTGTACTTTGTTCAAATGGATGAAGAGTGAACGTCTTCCAGCCAGGGACAGCATTTCAAGGTCTCATTTATAATGGGTTCTATATAGCCAGGATAGTTGTACTTTGCTCTATTGTTCAGTTATGTTTTTACTCCTTATTTGACATCTAAACGCTATGCTTTGGCCCTTGCACCTCACTGTTGGAAGTGATTCCTTATACATTCTATTTACATATATGGTGCCTTCTATTTTGGTCACTAATGAAATRTTATATAAGTTTTATTGATCAAAAAATATCATATAAKTATAAAGTGGCGAAGTTCTTGTTCTTTTATCAGCTTCATAAAAGYTGCAGAGGGTGGGCCTTGRTGCAATGGTTTGGTTGCTCCATGGTCTTGGAAACAGCTTCTCTGTATGTGCAGGAGTAAGGCTGTGCATCTGTCCCTCCGCAGACCCCACATTGGTGGGAGCCTCATGTACTGGGCTGCCCTTTTTAGCTTCATAAAAGTTGCAGACTTGCAGTTGAGGATTAAGGCTGATCTGAGCTGACTTGAGTTGAGTTAAGTGTCATAAAGTTTCAAATGGCTCAATATATATATAGTTTGGCAAGTAAGAATGAAATTTTACTACCATCTTATTGGAGAAGAAAATGTAAGAGGGTAACAAGGATGGGAAGGAAGATGAAAGGAATAAAAGTTTTCAATGAGTTGTTAGTTGGAATGTGGGAGGTCTGGGTAGCGCATCTAATTAAAAACCATGAACCCTGGGTCCTGTAAAGCAGGAGGTATTTTAACCATGTGGGATTAGAACAGATTTGAATGTGAAGAGGATTTGGTTGGGGTGGGAGGGGGTGGAGGATTTTCAGTGACAGATTGAAAGACAAGTTGGATGGCTTTGCATAGAGAAATTCTAGGAGGAACCGTCGACTGTCAGAGGATGGGTCCAAGAAGCTTGGTTGATTGGAAGTGATTTCAATGTCACCCATTGTTGTGACAAGAAAAGCACCATCTCTTCAAGGCTAACCACGACCATGAAAAGATTCAATAAAGTAATCAATTAATACATGATTAAGCATGTTCCATGGTGAATGAGAAATATACTTGGTCAATTTTGCAATCAAATGTTGTTTTTGCAGGGTAGACAGGCTTTTATTGACCACAGATTGGAAGGAACATTATGGTATGTGCAATATCAAAAGCTTTACCAAGGGTAGTATCTGATCGCTGTCCCGTTTTGATGTCCTATGATAACTGATGGAAAGGGTCGAGAGGCCAATAGCACTGTTGTAAAAATGTGGGAAGATTGCAAAAATGTGGGAAGAAAATTAGAACCAGAAGAGGAGGTAATAAGTGGGGACAAAGCACCTGATCTGGATGGATTTGCTAGGGCTTTTCTTCAAGGAAAGTTGGGATGTAATCAAGAAGGACTTAATGAAGCTATTCCAGGAGTTCCACGAAAGGGGCCAAGTAGAAAAGGGCATGAACACTACCGCCATTAAGTTGGTACCACTTATCAATCTCTTGTCCTTTTGTTGTAGGTCTTTGGGAGAAGCTTTTTGATCTCTTTTGTTGCAGGTGGCTAGAATCTTTGCAGATTAAAAGCCTATTTGACCCTACTACCTTCAGGTGGCCAAAGAGAAGAGGTAGAGTCTTGTGGAGGTGTCTGCTTTGGTTTGTACTGTGTGGGAGGAAAGAAATGCCAGAATATTCATAGATAAAGTGAGGGATAAGACTGGTGTTTGGGATTGCATCATAAACAGGGCCATTATGTGGTCCAAATCTCTAGATCACTTATTTTCCTTCTCCTTTGATGGTATTTGGAGGAACTTGGATTTAGTGGCCAATAGCACTGTTGTAAGAGATAAGCCAGTGGTGGAATGGAGACCCCCAAACCCGAAGAAGGCATCATCAAACTAAATTTTGAAGGAAGCAGTCTAGGCAATCCAGGGCTATCAGGGATTGGGGGAGTTTTCAGAGATGCACAGGGAAAGATTATTGCTTTATTTTCTGGTCCTATTGGAGAGGCGGATGCAGTTAGTGAGGAAGTGCAAACAGTTCTACAAGGAACAGACATTGCTAAAGAGCTGAACATTGAACAGTTATTAATTAAAGATGATTCCAAATTAGTAACTGCATGGCTGAAAGATGCAGAGGCAGAGACAGTGACCTGGTCGTTTAGGGAAGCATTGAGGAGATCTATGTTGTAACCACAAACATTTCTGTCAGTTTTCAAAGGCAGAGACAGTGACCTGGTCGTTAAGCAAGGGTTGTATAGGATTTAGGAATCAACTTGTTTGGGCTATGTTGTAACTTTGAGGGTTTTCTGGAGGCAGCATCTCGCGTCTCTTGAGGGAAGCACTATCTATGTACTCCTTCATTGATCTTTTTTTAATTAATAAATCGTTTTACTTATCAAAAAAAATGAATTCTACCGTCATTTCATTGATGCATAAGAAGCCCAGTTCAGTTTCCCCTAGTGATTAGAGGCTGATAAGTCTCAAAACTAATGTTTACAAAATAATTGCCAGGGCATTATCCATGAGATTTTTTTTGGCAAATAACTGTATTTTATTTATTTTTTTATCAGTAAGGATAAATTTTATTAAAATTCAAATTGAAGGAATTACATCAAGTTGGAAAATTCTCACCAGAAAAGACTACAGATTTTTGCCCAAAAAAATTGTTGTCTTATAGCCCCTTGTTTAGCCAATGTGTCTGCCATACCATTTGCTGTTCTTCTCACCCATCTAAAAGTAACATTCATCTCCCTTGCTAAGGATTCTATTTCATGGATAATAGCGCTGTATTTTATTGATGATAAACAATAAAAGATATGTACAACTTTATACACAGAGAGAGTAGACAGCATACTTGATAATCCACACCACTTATGTGTTCTTTTTTTTTCCTTTTTTGAGAAGAGGTAAAGTATTAATTCATTAGACAAGAACAAAAAAAGACCTATGTACAACCAGAGGCTATACAGTGGGAAATTACAAAAAAAAAACATTAGACCACTATCCTGTTTGTGATTACAAAAAGATTTTCATACTAAAGGAGAGAACTAAAGGGAACGCTATCTCTGGATAGGTGTGCAGACGACCAGGATAACAGTTTCCCCATTATTTTCTGCCACATTTCCTCCTCTTGACAGCCTTTGCTTCAAAAGAGCCTTGAGTTTCATTCCTGCCATATTGACCAGAAAACTGCTCCTGGGACCAATTGCCATAGAAATTTCCCTTTCTTACTCAGACCATGGGTCCGCCAGCCTTTTATAAAAGCTTCCACTGATGCAGAGCAGCAACTTTTGATGGAAAAAATGCTAAACATTTTCACCTATATGCTGTAGGTTAAAGCTGCAATGTAGCAACAGCCAACAGGTGGTCAGCTGATTCTTCTACTCTGTTACATAACACACCATTCCCCTCTGATAAGGATCAACTTAAGCCATATCAAAAGAGAACCAAAGCTACTCCTATGCTCATTTTGCATCATTACAAAGACATGGAGCCCACATGGGAGCTGGGTTAGCAGTAGATCAACTTGGGAAGATCCTAGAGTCTTCAGTCCACCTTAAGATGCTCTATGTGTGGTTGAGTTTGCTGCTGGACAGGACTTATTTGGTATTCTTACATTTCTGGATAGCAAGGGTATTTTTTGTAATTTGCATGTTTAGGGCGTTATGTTTGAGAACAGGTCTTAGTCTAGTAAGTTCCCTTTGTTTGGCTTTATGTTTGTAATTGTTTGGGGCAGGTTTAGTTTAATCTAGCTTCTTTTGTAAGTGGCTTATTGTGCAAGCTAACTTGGGGGGCAAGTTTCTTCCTTTGGAAGCTTCTTTCTTATTAAGCTTGTAAAGCTCATTTGAAGGACAGTTTTTTCTAATGAAGAAAGAAAGTTCTCTACAGAATTTGGTGTGATTGCCAAGTTGAGGGCGTGGTTGCCCTCACCCTTAGGTGTAATTGCCTAGGGTTTTCATCTTATTTCTATCACTTCTCATCTTCCTCTGTTAGTTCTTTGTTTGTGCTACACATCTAGACCTAAGTTGGTTCAAGAATAGTGCTGAATCACAAAGATCCTAAATCACCCTCCTGATCAGATTGTTTTTTGTAAGAATCTTGTTCAGATAGGCAGACCAAACACCAAACAAAGAAAACCACCTTTGAAGGGATATACTTGCTCCAGATTACATACCAAGGGAAATCCTGCTCGTCTTCTTGAGTCAATTTATTATAAAAGGATTTTACTGTGAAATGACCCTTTCGATCAACTGACCACATCCTTCTGTCCTCTGATTTAAAATCAATTTGCATGCTGTACAGCTTCTGAAGTAGTTGTCCAAAAGGTTCAATCTCCCAATCATTCAGAGCTCTTCTAAACTACGAGCTCCAAACATGATCCCCATTTTGAAAATGCACATAATCAGCCACTTTTGCCTCCTTATCCACCGCAATTGCAAATAGTTCTGGAAAATCATCCTTTAACAAATTGTTCCCAAACCAGCAATCCATCCAGAATCAAACCCTGGATCCCCTCCCTACTTCAAACTTGATTTCCTTGCTTAAAAAAAAAAAAAAAAAAATCTGTAGCTCTTTTTGACCCCTTTCCAAATCGAGCAACCAAAGCAACTGATTTGCTCTTTTCAACCCCTTATGTGTTGATATTACAACTATATCTAAAACAACTATTTCCTTTCTACCCCTTGTTTGGCTAAAACATTAACAATACTATTGGCAGTCCATTTTATCCTTGTCATAAAAGTTCACCCTTGTTCAGCATCCATCCAATTACTACCTTCTAATCACCCATTCACCCTCAATAATTGGTGTGCGTATCTGCATTTTCTTTGACCACTGCACTCCATGGATCACAGCCATCAACTTTGCTCTCAAGGCATCCCCTTGTCCAATAGGTCCAGAATCCAAAGAACAAAGCTACCACATCACCCTCCTCATCGCTAAAACACTTCTAAGCTTGATGGCACCGGATTGCCCAAACTGTTACCATCGAAATTAAGTTTTATGAAGCCCATCTCTGGTGGTACCCAAGCCAGCCCCAACCACTTCTCCCCACTTCCAATATGATGTCATTTCTCAAGAAAGGCAAGAATGTCTTTACCCAATGTGCCACTTACACTATAATGCATTCTATAACTGTCTCCCTGCTTCTTCCATGAGATTCAGGGAAGTTCTTCACTTGACCACATTAGCGGAACAGGGGACTATTTAAAAATCACCAAATTCTAAAGTCTCATACCCAATGGAGCAATGGAGGATACTAGGAAATCAGGGAAGAAAGGTTTTGTTTATAAATTAGATTTGGAAAAGGCCTATGATCATAGATTGAGGGTGCTTGAGATGGATTGTGATGGAAATGGGATTTGGCAGAAAATGGGTAGGGTGGATGGTGCAATATTTGAAATCCACTCATCTTCCAACCCTAGTGAATGGAGTTCCCAAGGGATTTGTTAAGGCTTCAAGAGGGCTAAGGCAAGGGGATATGTTATCACCCATGCTATTTATTTTGGTGGTGGAATTGATGGACAAATTGTTCAAGAGGGTAGATGATAGAGGGCTTTTCAAGAAGATGAGAGTGGGTATAGAAGGGAAGGTGATCTCTCATTTGCAATTTGTAGATGACACCATTGTTTTGGGAGAATTTGGAGGCACTCAAACTCAAGATTCCATCTTTCTAAAGGGAATTCTTGCCATTGTGGAGAGAGTATCAGGGTAGCAGATGTACTAGCTAAACAGGGAGTTGGCAGGCCAAATCTTTTCTGGGCAAACATGTAAAATTGTTACCAAAGGGTGTTGAATTTTCCAACAGTTGTATTATGCTTTAATCTTTATTTTTAATGAAATCCTTTTGCTGATCCAAAAACAAATATCACTCTAAACGTGATTTGAAGGGGATTCATTTAGATCAGGTGGAGTTGGAGGAGTGTGCGATATTATTAGAGTGTAGTATTAAGATCTGGACAATTAAATATTTAGGGATACCCCTAGGAGGCACTCCTCAAGAGTTGACCTTGTGGAACACAGTAAGACACTTCAGAATGCATAAAAAATCATCGAGCCATTCAGGTTTAGTTGAAAGGTGGCTTGTTTGCGTTTGGGCCTACCAGAAAGGTGGAGAAATCTAAGAAAATTCTTAAGAGAAGTCATGAAGTTCTTACTCTAGTATCTAAAGAAGATGAGAAGCCAATAGGGGCTGCAAGTAGGGCAAGCTGGGCCAATTTTATGGTCAACCCAGACCCAACCCTAAGATTTCGGCCTAAGGCCTGAGCCCGATATTCCCAACCCAGGCCTAGCCCATACTGAAATTTGATGCACTTGGGTTGGGCTCAGGTTGGTCAATGAACCCATTTAAAATTTGACATAAATGTGTGCATGTATGTATGTATGTGCTTATGCAAATAGATATGCATATATGTATGGGCTTGGACAGGACTTCATGCCCACGGGCTCAGGCTCGGGCCTGGGCCTAAAACATCAGACCCGACCTTTTTTGGGTTGGGCTCGGGCTTTCTCAAAACAGCCTGGCCCGAGCCCAAGCCTAACTTGATAATGTATTATATAATAAAAATATATTTTATATAATAAAATATATAATATATATTTTTCTTTATTATTCTTCTCTTTTTTCAAGTAATAGTGAGATCTTTCATTATTTTTTAGGTTTTGAAGTATTTTAATATAAACAAAATAATTTTTATTGAATAGAAAAAGAAAAAAAAATCTTTTTCCAATTTTCTGGATGGGCTCGGGCCTAGGCCCGGGCTTCAGGCTTTATATAAGGGTTGAGCTTGAGTATATTCTGTTAATACAGAGACAAAGCCCGGCCCGGCACATGAACAGGTCTAGTATGTATGTGTGTAATCGGGCCAAGCTCAGGTTGGGATAAGACCAGGCTGGGTGTGGTCTATCTAAGGGCTAGTCAGTCCCAGCCTGTGTAAAATTTTGGGTTGGGTCACTGCAAGCTGGAGTTGGGCCTGCCCAAGTTGCACCCCTAGTAGCCAAGGATAGTTTTGAGTGGTATTAAGTTGGAGTCCCAAGTTCTTTTGTTGTGTTCTTTTGTCATTTTTTTGGTAGTTGGTGAATATGAAGTTTGGGTGGTTAGGTTGTATGTAAATTCAGCTTAGAGTGGAGATTGTTTTGGCAGGTTTTGTTTGTTTTGAGTGGTAGAGGGTAGCAGATGATTTTGTTTGGGTGAAGGGTCATTTTTCTTCTCTCGGGTCATCTCTTGTCATCTTTTCTTATAATCCTCTTTTTTCTTGTAATAATTTTTTTATTTTATCATCAAAAAAAAATTGTCTCTGTTTTCCTCTGTTATTTACCTATTGTTAGCACCCAGAAAGCAGCCATCAGTTGTACATATTCTTTATATTCCTGATCTGATTTAGTTAAGGTATTTCTCTCTTTATGTTATTTACCTGGTTGGCTTGATTTGGTCAGTAATATTTGGTGTAAGACTTAAAAGGGATCTCTAGATATGCTCAAGTATTAAATGGTTATTTAAATATTGGTTAAATGAGAGAACATTCCAGGGCAATGTTTTCTGTCATATTTGTAGCCCTAAAGTTAACACAACTTATTGACTTACCACATAAATTCTGTGGTTGCTCTCACATGACCATAGGGCTGCAAATTGGAAAATCCTGGTTTAGGAAGATTAATTGATCATGGGTTGCATGCTCGTTTGAGACCAATATCAGGGAATCCATCTGAGTGAGCATAGTGCTTTTTATCTTTATTTTTTCAGTTCTTATTGTACTTTTTCTTCTGACAATGTCTTAACACCAAGGCAAATACTGCATGGAGTTGTGTACGTTTTGCCACTTGCTGGGAAGTCTGGAAGGAGAGAAACATAAGAATCTTTGAAAATAAAATTCAAGAGAGAGACCAAATCGCAGTGACTTGTGGGAGAAGTATTATGGACTGGATTCTCATAATCTCATCTTATCAGAATTTGAAGGAATTTTGCTGATCCAAAAAAAAAAAGAGAGAGAGAATTTGAAGGGATTTCAAAGGAAGCACTTGGAAATGATTTTAGGCCTTTATTTGATCAGTATTCAAGGAGTTATTTTTGGTTTCTTTTGTATTTCTCATGTTTTTGGAATGTATGTTGGTGATCTCTCAGCACCCTCTTTGATGTACTTTTTCTTCCCTATTAATAAAATTTTCTTTTTATTTATTAACAAAAAATGGAATACCTTTGACCTTGCTAACGAACAAATATAAAGATAGGTAAATCATAAAGTCAACCTAGGGGTTTATAGGGGTTTTATCTTTCTTTTCCATGTTTTTTATCATACTTCTAGTTATGATTTCTTAATAAAGGGCCCTTTGATTTCGTTCTAATCATAAAATTCATTTACTTGTCATGCCAATCTATTCTCTACAATAAATAAATAAAAGTACTCTAGTTCATCCAGGTGCAAATATGATAAGCTACCTCCCATGTGATAGGGGAGGGGGTTGAACCCTCTAAGATTTTTGTCATAGTTCCTCACAACGATTCAAGGAAAACCAAACTCTAAGAATTATGTATTACATAGTTATTTTGAATTGCTTAGTCATATGAAACGTCCATGTCATCTGATTTTGAATATAGATGATAGATAGTTTAGTTTCTACAATGTTCTACGATCCTATTTAAAGGCCAGGGAAAAAATATCAAGCAAATCAAAAACAAACTCCCCGTTTCTCATAACTAAATGCTCTCCATTTTATCATGCCAGCAGAAAAATAAATAAATAATGAAATATAAGTTGCAATTTAAGAAAGGATATGTAAAACCAGGTGAAAAATCAAACCTAGAAAATGGGCAAGACCCTGCGCATTGAAAGGGTCAGAAAAGCTCCCCATTCCCACGCACATTGCTGCCGCTGCCTGCAAAACGTGCAAGCCATCAAATAGGGTTCTGCAAAATCAATAATTGACTGCAGTAAACCGTGAGGGAGAACACCTAAGACTTCGGATCATGGAAATTGACTGGGGAAGAAAAACAACTCCAAGAAAATGACCTTCATTCTTCCCCGGATGAGGTTCACGAAATCCGAATTGTTTCGACTTAACAGGACTGATAAAACTCATCCCACTGAGCTAAATAAAATAATAATGATCAAATATGGCTCTGCCCCAGGCATTGGAGATTATTAATTAATGTAAATAAAAATGGAGAAAAAATAAAGGAGAAACGAAAACTAGCCTTTTTAGTCAGTGAAACGCCGCTCTTTTTCTTCTCATTCATTTCTTCGCACTCATCTTCTCTGTCTTCGTCTTCTTCTTCGTCTTCGTCTTCGTCTCCGTCTCCGTCTTCAGAATCGCCTTCATCATCGTCACTGTCACCTTCGTGCTGTTTTTCTTGTTCTTCAACGTCTCCATTTTCAATAATTTTAGAAGTGTCGGGAGGTCCCTCTGGGAAGATCTCCGGGTCGTGAACAAGGAGAGCACAGAGACCATTAGAGAGATGAACAATTCTGTATAAACGCCTATCTGTTGGGGACTTTATCACGATATCGTCCGCAACAGAATAAGAAGATGACAGCTCGACCACCATTTCTTCCCCTCGCAGTAGACAAGTTCTTTCAGGAGCTGCCCTTTACTCTGCGTCACGATTACCCTTCTATAGCGGCGGGGAAAACAGGACCGGGAGGGTTATGGATATTAATTTCCATGTATATATACAAGTCTAGGAGCCCTATAACCCTATTGTTTATAAAACGGATCAAATCGAATCCGTCATATATGTGTAATCCAATTATCCAAATTTGATTTGTTTATATTCCTTTTTAAGAGAGGAATGTTTCGTTTATATTCGAAATCGAATTAAAGCTTATTATCATATTGTCATTCGAATCGAACTCGGATTGAATCCGTTATTGTATTGTATAAATAAATGAGGAAGGTATTATATATTACGATAAAATATTTAAACTGGGCTTTGCAAAATTGACTAATTGTAAGCCTATTGTTTGAAAAAAAAAAATGATTTAAAGTTGTCTGAGAATAGGAATCGCCATTATATAGAGAGTGAAAAGTCCATGTTACCCTCTACTTTCTAATCAAAATTTCAATTACAGTCTTAGACTGTGATCCCATGACCACAGCCCCCGTTCTCTCTCTTTCTCATCGAATTCCACTAGAAAACAGTAGAAATTTGATCTTCATCTCGAATGTTTCAGGTAAGACCAATGAAACTTTCACCCAAACAAACAGTGTGACGGATGTTCGTCTTCTTCACCCAAACAAACCAAAACTTTTATGATAAACCCGATCTAATCTGAGCCAAACGATATCCAATAAGAATCAATGGAGACTTTTTTTTTAATGGGGAGGGGGGTGGGGGAGGGTTAACATGGCCCTATTCCCGACTATTTCGAGAACATCCAAAGATTACGCCCATTCCAATAGCTGAATCTGCATTTTTGTTTGCATCTAATGGCCTTGCATCATCGGCCAAAACTCTACCCCCATGAATTGTGGTAACTACAATCTTCGTCTGCATCTAATTAATCTCCCAGATGTCACGACCACCACAAAGTGTTGGCTCAGCATCAGGTCTGTATAAGCTACAAGGAATTGCAAATTTGGGCTTTCAGAATATTACAACAATTGCAACGTATCACAATTCACAAGTCAACGAGATGTGACGACTGACGAACAGATGGGAGGTATTTGTCCTTGGGAAACTTGGGCATTTTAACAGCAAATAAAAGGAGACAAATCATTAAAACCAGGAATGCCAATTAAGTATTTTAGGTCATTTTGTTGTAAATAGTGTATGTGCGTTAGTCAATTTCGCAAAACCCACGAGTGTTTAGATATTTTACCAACCTTTCATTAGGTTTCTGACAATCACAAAAACCTCCACTCAAGTTTGACTTTAATAAAAAAACTCTTTTGAAGTTTTGGAAAATTCAACACAAACCTCCCTTTCATCGCTATCCCAAACCGAAAACATTTGATTGATGCATTATATTTTAAATACCCATTTTATCATTTTGTACATGATTTTTACATCAAATATTACTAAAATAACCTTGAAATAAACTTTTAACTTGAATAACCCATTTACCGCCTTTTTTATCTTCTTTTAATCTCCCATGCTCATGAGAGGTGATCATTTCAGCCCTGCCTGGAAATTCCGGGCTTGGGCTTGGGCCTGGTTTTGTATTCAGGCCCGGCCCGGGCCCACATCAGGCCCACATATGTATAATACTTCAAGCTCGGCCTGACCCGCATATATTTAAACTTATACATTTTGTATATAATGTATACATATGTATACAAGTTATTTTACATTATATTATATATTTTATATATAAATATTATAAATATGTAATGTTTGATATATATGAAAGAAATTAGCCCATAATCAAGCCCGACCCGGCTTAGGCCCGTATATACCTAGGCTAGGGCTTATGTTTCAGGCCCAGAACCCCGGGGTTCACTTAGCTTTGATGAGTGGCCACCAACCTCTCCTCAGTACAATTGTCGCCGATCTTTGTTCAAAGGAAACACCACAACATCAACTGTTGCCAGTCTCTGGAAGCAGACTTGCCGATAATCTCTACCGCTACCAAAATTTAGGGTTCCACCACTATTGAGGTTACTAGTTCCCTTGGATGCTGCCATTGGAGCTGAATTGCCTTGCGGTCTAAACCCAAAATCTCTCGCCAAAAGACAAAGGAACTCATCCATGATTTGTTAGTTTCTTTCAGCTTCCCAAAATCTGGGCGCAATTAAGATGGGAGGGAAGAATCCAAATAAGACATTATAATTCTCAATTGTGAATTAGGGTGAAGCAAGGTGGGGGGCTTATGCAATGCTGGTAGATCTCAGGTGATGTGATTTGTGATGAATGTAGAACAAGATAAGGTGGACCATATATCGAGGATGTAGTCGATGAGCCCAAACCCCTTGCTTTAGTCGACTCGTCGGAGATTGAAGATACAACTGGCGATTGAGAGAGTTGTTCTGTAAGCTGATGGACCAAAGATTGAGGATGCAGCATGTGAGCCCAACCCCCTTGCTTTCTGTCAACACGTTGGAGATCAAGGATGAAATCGACGATCCTAGCCCCCTTGCTTTAGTCGTTGATTGCTGCTATTTATTGAAAACTGAAAATGAGGAGAAAAACGAACTAGATCTCAGATTTGAGTATCTCTCAGATTTCAGGAGACGTTGGTTTGATCCCTTTCTTTCTCTCTCTCTCTCATTCTCCTTCTTCTTCTTCCCCTTGTCTCATCACCGTTGCTAGTAGCGGACCCCTCCACCTCCTTCCCCTCTCTCTCTCTCTCCCACTCTCTCCTTCTCCCCCTTCGTTCTCTCTCCCCTGTTGACCTGTTTCATCTCCTTTAACTTTGGTCACAACCAGGGATGAGGCCTCTACGTCTATGGATGAACTCAGAGAAAGGCAGTGATACAGAAGACAGTGATGTTGCAGAGAGATGATGACATCACTGTAACATGGTTGAAATTAATTTCTAATGATTCATCAACCCATGGACCACCCCTACTATAAATCAAGCATACGAGGGTTGGGGGGAAGATTTGGGCTTATTGTTGTCACTGTCCTCAACCTCCGGGTATGGTGCAGTAGTTGACAAAGATGGAGACGGTCGGAGGAAGATAAAGGGAAGAGAGAGGGGTTGGAGAAAGAAGGGGGTGTCGGGTTGACAGAAAGGGGATGGGGTAAAATTAGATTTTAAAAATATTTAAGCATCACATGGTGCCATGTGTGTATGGGTTTTGATGAAATATTAGCAGATACTAACGATAAGAGTAGAATTAAACAATTGTCATAAATAGTAAGGGTGGTGCCACTCAATTTTTAAACATGAGGGGTAAATTTAATCAATTAGCTTAAATCATAATGATAGTTTAAGAAATTTATCCAAAAAAAGCGCAGCCGTTCTTAAAAAAAAAGAAAAAAAAAATCGTTACGAGCGGGAAATCTGACGATTTACTAGCCTAGCGGCCTTAGCCCTGTGTCCCAAATTCCGAAATACTTAGAGTATGTTTGGTTCGCAGGAATAGAGGTCCGGAATCGGAATCGTCAGTTTGATTGGGTGGAATCGGAATCCGATTCCCATTCGGGGCGGAATGGCCATTCCCGACCCACCCCTTCGGAATCGGATTCCCATTCCAGCCAGTTAAGAAAAATTAAAATGACAAAAAAAACCCCACAAACCCCCCGATTCCGAGTTTCCAACCTCTTTTCTCTTCTCTCGTCACTCCCTCCTTCAAACCTTTTCTGCAGTTCGGCAGTTGAACTCTGAAGATCCGACCTGAATTATTCCGGCCAGGTAAGTCATCACGGATCTCTCTATCCTTTCCTCTTCTTCTTCTTCTTCGAAATTCACCGCCCATGCTCTGACTGAATCTTCTTCTTCCTCGCCTCCTCTTCCTCCTTCTTCCTTCTTTTTTTATCACTAACTGAAATATGGTTTTATGTTTTGCAGATCCGCTCCTACTCTATTTGGGATCGATCTACTTCTTCACTGCTACCATTAACGAGATCTATCTACTTCTTAACTGCTACCATTAACGAGTTTTTCGCACCAATCAATCCAGGCAATCGGTGAGTATAGTTCATAGTTGATAATCTACTGATTAATTTGTTATTTTGATTAAACTATCTGCGATAGTTCCTTGTACAAAGTTTCTTCCAAATCTCCCTCACCCAGTGAAGAAGACAATCTGGTATAGAAATTGTTCCTTGGTGGGAAGCATAACCAACCATAAAGCTATTGTTAACAGCAAACAGCCTTAACCAGATATTCCATACCCTCTTTGTTGAACTTCTTCCAAATTTATTTCTTTCAGCATTGTAATCACTAAATCAGAATGTGTCATATGAAAAGTTTAATTGCTAGGATCTCAGTATGTCATTTCAGCTGGGCTAGACTAAATTGATTAAAATTTAGGTTATTTCAGAGGAATGGACGGTCTGTTATTTTATGGTGGTGATTTGGGGACAACTCATTGTTATTATGTGTTCATTTAAATTGGTGGTTGTGATCTCTTATTTTATTTTATTTTATTTTTTGATCAATAAGTTGTGGTCTCATTACAGTTTCTCATTGACTGTCCCTTTCTAGTTTTTTTTTTTTCTATGTTTTCTAATTTCTTTCAAGGAGACTAAAAATATACTGCATTGTTTTTAGAAATAATCAAACCATCTAATGAAGCACAAGTTGGGATTTAAACAAAAGAAATAGTACATCAGCCCATTCTTAATCTGTACAAGCTCTACAAACACAGAAATAGTACATCAGCCCATTTTCATTGTGGGGAGACAAGAAAAGATTCCAAGATTGTATAGGATTAAGCTTTTGCAGGAAAAAGAATATACATTTTTTTCCTTCTGAAACAGGGCAGTATTTTTTCAGGTAACTGTAGCAGGAAAAGACTGATAAAAAGAAGAAATAAAAGAAAAAAAGAAAAAAAGAAAAAAAGGAAAACATTAACAGCTACAAGCAAGAGTCAAGACAAAATAACCCAAAACAGAAAACAAAAAACACAGTGTTGGCCATGGGGGGCAACTCTTCAATCTGTAACTGCTATCCTGTACCATAACAACTTTTTCACAGTAACTTTCAGAGACAAAGAGAATGTTTTTAGACCCAAAAGGATAGTTCACACTTCCCAGCAGTACTTCAGTAATTCAGCCCGCTCTTTTATCCTATCTGTACCAAAAACCAGATAGAACCTTCAAAATCAAATAGCCTAGTTGAATTTATAAACCGATCAATCCATGGTGTAACGTTAGCCGATGATCAGCCTAGTTGAATTCTGGATGGAGCAGGAAGCTTCATTGTGAATGGCATAGTATTACGAGAAGAACATTGAAAGATTCCAACTTCTCTGTGTCAGCTGATGTCCATCCATATAAGAGAGAAGCAGAAAAACTTTTTATATGTTAATGGGGTACCATGCAACATTGTATTGTCTAAAGTGTCTTATTGAGAATCTCTCTCTGTCTGTCTGTGGATTCCTTTCTCTTTTGGGTTACTTTTGTGCAGCTTTCGATATCCACATTCTTCCTCCCCCAGCCCCAATCCCCAATCCCAATCCCTGGCAGTGAGCTTCAAACCTCAAAGCTAAAGTTACAAACATAAGCGCTCCCTGCTGTCTCACAGTGCCACAGAAGTGCCCATTTATATATCAGAATCTTTTGATATAATTTGCTTATACATAATGGATTCAATCCAGCCAGGTCGAATCATGAATGGAATCAGGTGGGGCATGATATTTCACATAGTATCATGATGATGATCATAAGGTAGAGATGATAGACCCAGTGTAGTGCACATTTGTCTTTTATAGTTTAAAACAGATCTGCCAAACTACTTTATACATCAAAGTTCTAACTGGGTCTATCATACCTTCCTTCTACTAGGGGTGCCAATTCGATTGGGCTTTGCTTATTGTTGGAGAAATTGAGTGTTAAGATGATATAATTCTGATGAATACTCTAATCGGATTTTTCTACAGATTATTTCTTTTTTTTGTTTTTTTCTTCTTGCGTGGAATAGTCTAACCACATCTTCCTGGAAGCTGGAAATGTCAGAGACATGCCTATCCATACCGGTTGTTCTAAATTTACCATGATTTTCTTTTATTTTAAATTTCCCCAAAGCATTTCTCTTTGGTAGAATTATAGTTGCAAGTGGAATCTGTTCGTTTTCAAATCTGCATGTTATGTGGTTTTGGTGTTTCTGTCTCTGTCAAGTGTCAGCAGTGAGTGAGAGAGTCTTTGGGGGAAGCTTTGGAGATTATCAGCAAAGGGAGGTTTTAGATAATTTCTTTAAAAAAATCTCTATTTTTAAATGACTATTTATATCAATCTATTATGATGCCAACTGACGTGTTCTCTGGCTGGTTGTATGTATATGTCGGAATTTCAAGCTTGAGTTCTCTTTACCATTATTAGAGTAAAAGAAAACAAGCCAATTTCAAAGTTAAAATGATGCTAACCAGAACAATAGGAAATTCTTTTGATCTCAAAAGATTATTTCTATTCAAGGTAGAAATCAGTGGGTTGGGTCACTGAGATTACTCACAGCCAATGAGCCAGTAATTGAGATGGTCATTTGTCATTTTAGGTATAAGGGGCCATTTATTAACAGCTGAAATGGCTGAACTGAAACAATAAATAATCAATCCAATTCCAGCCATAGTCATTAAGGAAACAATAAGTCCATTATTTCCACATCAGCTTGTTCTCTTTTGCTTCTCAATCCCATGAGAATTTTGTGGCTTTTTATTTTAAAAAATAAAGAAAATCAGA